CTTATTTTCAATCAATTTAACCACAGTTTACCAGTATTAGATGATAAAATGTTTTTAAAAAAATAACCAATTGAATAGGTACAAAATGATATACTTTTATTCTGTAAAGAATAAAGAAGATTTAGAATTATAAAGCTATAAGTTAAAATTTTGTTAATTACAAAAAGCTTTTTTTATGATTGTTTTTTACCATTAGAAATTTGAAAATAAAGGGAAAAGTAACTTAGATTATGGGTAAAGGAAATGGTATTTTAGAGATTTCTAGAATGAGTCACCTGTCTTTAGGAAAAGATCATGTTTAATAACTTTGTTGCAAGTGTTTTGTAGAGGTACTTAATTGTATAAAAATCCCAATTTGAGAAGAGTTTTCTATTTGTCAATGATAAGCTTTAAAATTACTTATTTCCTTAAGATGAAGGTTTAAAATTCTAAGGGTTCTACTGTTCACAGTTAAAAATTAAAAACCATGCAGGAGAGCTGGCCAAGTGGCTCAGTTGGTTAAGAGCTCGCTCAAGAGTGTGAGCTCTGAGCAACAGCGGTTTGATGCCAGGCCTGAGCTGAGCTGCCACTGAGCTGCCAACAGGTGGCAGGATGGCTCAGCTAAAAAAACCCAAAAAACCAAAAACCATGCAGGAGGATGTAAATTAAAAAGTAAAAACCTCATGTTCCGCTAGTCCCCTAGACTCAAATCCACTAGACACATAAAAACCGTCTGCTATCCCATCTACTGTTCTTATTTTCCAGCTGTAAGTACCGTTATTTATAACAATTATTTTTTATGTAAAAATCTAACTTCTTTTTGTTGTTTTCTTGTGGTGAAGCTGTGAATTCTTTGGAATTGTGAATATTCTTTTGAAATACGGAGCCCAGCTAAATGAACTTCATTTGGCATACTGCCTGAAGTATGAGAAGTTTTCAGTATTTCGCTATTTTTTGAAGAAAGGTTGCCCATTGGCACCGTGGAACCATATATCTGAATTTATAAATCATGCAATTAAAGCACAGACAAAATACAAGGAATGGTTGCCATCTCTCCTGCTGGCTGGATTTGACCCACTGAATCTACTGTGCAGTTCTTGGTGAGAAATCCTACCCTTGTAGACCTTACCATATCTTTTTTTTTTATTAAGTTAATCAAACTTTTAATGAAAAGATCATAAAATAAGTTTCTCTTCACTGTATAGACCTTACCTTTTTGAGCGAGTATACTACCTTTAATGTCCCCCAATTTCTTGAGACCCCACTGTAGGAGAAGGAGGGTGTGTGTTGATGGCTGCATTGGGGTAAAGGTGTTGGGCTGCTCATAGCGAGATTGAACGTAAGGATGGATTCCTGAATAAAGGTAAGAGGTGACAGAAAGGGACTAGAAAGGGATGGATGCCAGTGCACATTTCTTATCTTAGGCCAGCCCTCATGCTTCTCTTAAAATGCCTGTGACAGAGGGTTGTAGCTGCTTTGGAGATTTCGGTTATCCCTTAGTCAACTAGATTGAATACTTTTGTTCTACAGCGTCTTGCCTTTTTAAACTCTGTCTTCCTTCATAAATGCTAATTTCTNGTCACTGGCCCCCATGTGGGATCCGAACCGGGGCCCTGCTGCTCAGAGCCGGCGTCCCAAGCAAACTCTTAACCAACAAGCCGCTCGGCCGGCCCCGGACCAAATGTATTCTTAATTAATATCGGAGTTTTTCAGTAAAAGTCATTGGAAGATATTGTTTTGTTGGCCTGTAGGGGAAAAGCTAAAGCATTGAAATATCCCTTTCAGGAGGGTACCTTCTACTCTTTCTAATTGACTGTTCATTTGTTTGCCTGGGACCCATGGCAATAGACTTAATCTTGATACATCTTTGCTATTATTACCTATTTTGTGAGGAATTTAATTGAAGGGAAAATCTTTCCCAAGGGCTAGATCTAAAAGATGGTGGTTAACATAATCACATATGCTCACATTTAATGTGTGTATATAAAGGAGTTGACTTAAGTATAGAATATAGCACCATTTTGGGCACATAGTAGAAAAATATCAAGGTTAATTTTCCTCTCTCGGTTATCCACCATCTAGAAAACAATGTAAATTAAAATTTCAGTCTCTACACTACATTTATGTTAGCTGATGTTTGGCTATTAGTTTCTATGTCAGTTACTGTACATGTAATGTGAAAATCACTTGATTATTTTGGAACTGTGTATAAAACTTTGCTGATCGAGGAAGCAAACTGTCATTCTCCCAGTAGGTTATGTTTTAGTGTATCAAGAAGGTACTATAGCCAAGTGTCTGGGGGGAAAAATCATAATTTAAATTTTCGTTAATTTTTTGTTACTTATTTCAATAAGCATGCATCTTAAAATTTGGATTCTCTACTGTCACATACCTAAAAATTAAATTAAGTAGTATGTCCATTTAAAAAGCAAGGATATTTTAATAGAATTTTCATTTAAAATAATTTTCATGTTCTTTTGCTCCTTAATAAAACAATGTATGAGTTTCCTATATTCCATTTACCAGTTATTAATACAAGTTTGAGTTTTGGCCACAATAATGGAACCAGGGACATTGGAAAACTCCATTTTCCAAAACTAGTCATCAGATATTCAAATTTGGAAATAGACAGTAAGTTTAGTGGTATAAGTTTTGAAATGTTATTTTTATAGCAACAATGTGTTGTTACAGTGATGTTAGTTTGGTGTAAGATTGTTATATAAAAAGATTTAATCAACATTTATCTGACTTGAGGTGTTAATGAGTTAAAACTTGTTTTCTCATTTGTATGTTTTCTGGTATTTCTCTGAGATCTAGAAGTTTAGTATTTGTGTCCTTTTTGCACTATTGGCCTGCTGTGTTCTAGTAAACTTTTATGTGCTTTTACAGATAGTACAATTAATATCAAAAGGTGATGAAAAGAGTAAATACAAATAATGGCTCTGGGTTTTATTGTTCTTTATTGTTTTATTCAGTCAATTTAGCTTTTTAGCTCAGGATTAGCATTCTGAAACTTGGTGCTGGGTATCCCTTTGAGAGGAGGAATTGCCATTTGAAGCAGTGACCTTTAGCTCTTCAGACCACTCCGAGGCATAATGGAAAGGCATTCCTCCATCACTGTACAAAAGCAGTGTTTGTCCTTTGGGGCTAAAAAGTTAACGGCAACAGTGATATGAAAGCCAGTCTTCTAAGGGCACGGTTGAGTAATTCAACTCAAATGAAAAAATATAAGAAAAAGGCTCATTTAACTGGAATGTGGAAGAGGAGGCAAGTTGAGAAATTTCAGGACAAAATGAACAAATTTTAAGGCCTTTTATATATGACTGTAGGAAGAGATCATGGCTTAGCTGACCTGATTTTGTCTGTCTTTGAATTGATACTGATCATTGTTAACATATTAGTTTTGTAGAAATTGTTATGTCCTTTCTTGTCATATCACACATGGGTGCATCTGATAAGATCTAATGTCTTCATTTTGTTTTCAGCTGAATAGCTGAAAGCCATTCAATAAAATTTGGGTAATTCATCTAATAAGTTGGTTACATATTATGTTGGCTAATTGAACATAAATTGCTCAAGATGTTTGCCCATTTCTATGTTTAAAATAAACCTTGTTAACATGTTGAGTTTTCTTTTACTGTGCTGCTTTTACCTGGGCACTGTTTCTGTGCACATTTTTGAACTTGAAAGAGCAGAATGATGGAAATGTACAAGCCCAAAGATAAGGCCTTGCTTGACATTGCTTTTTGAGTTTTTAAACCTCTTCTCTTGCTCAATATCTGATGATTTTCACTGTTTATATAACATGCAGTCTCTTAATGTGTCACAATTAGTACTTGATATTTATATTAAATAGATTAGTGGACATTTAGTTCTGTCCAAAATGTTCACGCTTAGAAAATATCCCTGGGTTTAGATAGCCCATAACATTTGTTTATACTTTTGGTTTACAGGATTCATACATAAAATATACTATCATGTTTTATTGATTCAGTAATTGTATTGTGGCTTTATTGTCAATAATAACCCTTTTTGCCTTGGTAACCTAGCTGGTAATGATACATGGGGTGAGGTAGGTGGGTGGTCATGACCAAATGTCTCTTTGGACCTTTTGGTACAAGACCAAATATCAAGGACCAAATGTCCTGCAAAGGTTAAATAGGAAGGACTATTTCCTTTTAATCTTTAGGACTTGAAGAGTTTTTACAGTTCTTCATCAGGGCTTAAGAGAGAATTTGTTTAAATCTTAAGAAAAATACATACGTATGTTCATATAATTTATCTTTTAAGCAAAGGTTATCTAAGCCCTAGAGTCTACTGTTGCTCAGTGACATGTAATAATCCAGGTCACATAGAGCACTGAAGTTGCTTGCGTTTCTGGACCCTGTACACATATATGAGACCTTCTTAATAGCCTGCCCAGAAGCTCAAAGCATGCTGACAAAGTTTCATGATTCTCCAGTTTATTTTGCGTTTATTATTTGCCATATAATAGGTAGTTTTGTTGGAAGAGGGTCTATAATGTAGCACTAGGCAATTTTATAAGCCTATTTTAGGAGTGTGCTTTTGTCTCTTCTAACACAAGGCAATGTGATAATTGGAAGAAGTTTACAGCTGGGTTTTCCAAAGTGTGTTTCTGCAGAATACTAATTCTATAGATTGTTAGTAGATATTACATGGGATAAAATAGTTAATTAAGTTTGGGAAACATAGGGTTAAGCAATGTTAAATAGGTTTCTTTCTTGAAGGGCTTCTAAGAATTTTTTTGGGGGTAGTTTGTGAATTCCTAAGAAGGGAATGAATCTACAAATGTTTGGAAACATAGGATGAACTTACGTTTATAATAAACTATTGCTTCCGTGTTTATAAACTTTTGGGGCATTTTATACTCTTTATTATGCTTTTTTTCAGATTATTAATTGGATCCTTTGCTTAATTTTAAAGCGACTTCTTCTGAAAGGTTTTGGAGGTTGAAGAAAAACGTTTGAGCATATATTTTGAAAATGTAACTAGCATACTATTTAAAAATAAATGTATCCCATATTTCTCCCTTTTGTGGACTCACTATTTATGGTTTCTCAAATATTTTCATTGTGGAGCCTCTTTCATATGGATCATTTTCAAGGACTAGTGTTTCATGCAACATACTTTGGGAAACATAGGTCTGGCCTTAAAGTATTCCTCAATTGGACCATTTCATGAAGTGTTCAGTTTTCATAATAGAGGAGAGATATTTCTGATATTTGCTGTGTCATATTCATTGTTACATTTTGGCTTTATGTTATTATCTCAATTCTACCAATTCCTAGCTCTGTGACTAAGCTTTAGTTTTTGCATCTACAATAGAATAGATAATTTAAAAACTTACTTCTTAGGGTTATTGTGACCATTAAGGTACATCTTCCATGTAAAACATTTAACATAGTGCCTGGTACAGAATACTCAGTGAAGTTCGTTATTATAGGAAATTATACATGCATATGTTCCTCTCACATTGTAGAGATGCATGCTTTATCTTCTGTACTTGTTCTTAAAATCTTCTTAGCATGAGCTACATGTCTGAGTGCTATGTTGAAATTTTAATAAGAAAGGTTTTGTAGTTTTTTTCTAAACAGAAAATCTGTAGCACTTAATCTAATAAGGTGCATTTAGCTTGGCATTCTGTAGCAACAGTATGTCCTCTTTAAAAGCTAAATCATTAAGAGCTAGCGTATCTATGATTAGGCAATTGATGGTTTCAAAGCACTAAGGATGGTTTCAGAGGGGAGAATTTAACCAGTCCCTGAGTTGTACAGGGAAGCACACAATTGCCAGGCTTCCTGAGGATTATATATCACATTTGTAATGTGGCAACGTCTTGAGTTTACCTGCATATTGTTTAGAATGTGTTCAACAGTCTGTATGTAGTTTGTCTGCTCTGTAGTGCAATCAGCAAGCAATAACTGCAGGCAAAATAATGAGAACATGCGCGTAGTTAAATGAGGTTGAAGTGGTTGAAATAAATTGGTGATAACTGTTTAGAACCATCGTCAGAAGTATATTCTTTTACATTTCTTGTAGGCAAGACTGCTGGCAACAAATTATCTCAGCTTTCCTATGT